CGAAAACAATACCGAAAATGTTTTTTATTTTAATTTTTTCAAATGTTTCAAATATTTTATTTTTATTATTTTTTTAATAAACTTTTTAATTTTATATTTATTTGTATTCATTTTTTATTTTTTACTTTACGGGGGTTTGAGGGAAGTATTGGGGGGTCTAAACAGACCCCTGATATTTCCCTTTTAAAATAGAAAAAGATTTAGGACACCCAGAGTCCTCTATCTCTTTTTGTGCAGCCTCAGTTATCAATGAACAGGGATCCTCCTATGAGTGTTTCTGTTCATTGATAACATGAGGCTATGGTATATTTACTATAACTACAACTATGAATGAACAGGAGGTGATGTAGATCACTCCCATTCATTCATAATTGAGGATATAGTTAACATGCCATAGCTTCAATTATGTACAAACACTCAGCGATCACTGATCGCTGAGTGTTTGTACCTTGCTCTCCTCTCTAACACACACTGTCACAGGAGGCTGATCGAGCGCTGCAGGGAGAGCTCAGCCTTCTGTGACAGCGTGGCCTGTCTCCGCCCACACATCGCTCTGCCGGACTGTAGGCGGCTGAGCGGTGTGGGAGGAGAGACACCGGCCGTTAACAGCGCTCTCCTACTGCAGCGCTCGGCCGCCTGTGACACTTTCTCTCTTCCCCGCTGGGACACACGGGGAGAAGAGAAAGCAGGGATGCGCCGATGTATCGGCCGAAACATGGCACTTTCGGCATTATGCCAAAAGTGTCATTTTCAGCCGATACGTTTCGGCGGACGATATATTGGTGCATCCCTAATAAATACTATTCTCAAGAAATCCAAATCAGAAGAACAGAAAGGGGTTACAAGTACAGAACATGCAATTAGTTTTTATTTTACCTTTAGTGTTTGGCCTGTCAAATGTTTGGAGCCTTAATACATCTCCACACAGTGTTGATTTTTGGAGTTCTCTAAATCCTATTTCAATACAATTTATCTATGCAAAGCATGAGCTAATTAAACTATGATATTTTCATAGGGCTCCACCCCTGTTTGCTTGTTTAAAATGGGTAAAAAGAGATTCGTCCACCTGCCATAAATGTCTAGGATTGGGTGGTCTCCATATGATTTGGGACTGTACTAAAATCCGAGCCTTTTGGTCACAAATCACTATTTTTATTTCGGAAATCATCATTCCCAACATATGTAGTCCAGAGTGGTGCGTCCTGGCATTTATTATTTTAAAAAAAAACACCACTGGATGAATTAAAATTCCTTTTATTAAGCGCACTGCGCTAATGGACAGTCTTTATAATACACAGACACACTCCTTTTTTGTTTTTTCATTGTATAAATTGTGCATACAAAATACTGAATCCTTTACCTGATACTAACATTGTTACATGCATATGTAAGATTTACCGCTGTGCACATATTGTATAACATGTTGAAATGTACCTGCATTGTTTAATGAACGTTATTTATAAAAGTGAACCAAAGTCTGAAAAAATGCACATCTGTAAGTAAATAAATGGCTATGGAAAGAAGCGGGTGGAAAGAGTTCAATAAGTAAAATTTTAAAGAGTGGTTAAAAAGGGTTTAAATAGTAATAATCTTTATTAAAACCTAAAAAATTTGCACTGGGTAATAAAAAAACGTTTTAGTCCTACGCTTTTTTTGAGGTCAGACTGAAGTAACTCATGAGTACTTACAGTAAGTAAAAATGCGCCAGCACTGTAGCACATCACAATGCCGAGAATAAATATTCTGTGCGCTGTGCTGCCAAATATAACGCTGATGTGTTTTTTGTGTGTTAAGATGTGTTGATGGCTATGAATGAATAGACCTACTTAACACCGCACACTGAAAAAAAGCACAGTAACATATCTGCAGTGATGTACTACAGTAGTTTGAATGGGCTTTAGCCGTGATATTTATTTTTTCTCCATTTTTATTCCTAGGCAGCTAATTATACAGTACTGAAAAACCCTAGAGACCCAGACCTTCATTTAATTTAGCCATGTTTTTACAGAAAACTAGGACCTTGTGTCCATTTTTGAAGTAGAGGATATGTTCAGTCTACCTTGTACAGTGTTTTTTAGGCTTAAAGGAGATTGTTCATTACGCATATTCCCACTTGGCTGCACAACACTTTGGACAAATCATATTTGGGAACTGTAGGAACGAGTACAACACCTACTGGAAAATCTGATTCCTGAGCATATCATTGAAAGCTGTCTGTGCTTGTTTCTATTGTGCAAGTTACCTGGGGCAGGTAACTTGCACAATCTTCTTCCAGTTGTCACCTTTTTCACATCAGTTATTAAGCCCTCATTTATATGGTTTTTCCTTTCCTCTTTATATGGCCTTTATTGTTTCATTTGCTTTTTCTCTCGACTACTTTACAGTTTCAAATAAAAATTAAATACTAGAATAATTAAGTAATGTTGATTAGTTTTATTCAATGTACATTTTATATCAAATAAGTTGTGTTTTTTGTTTTGTTTTTTTTCTTGTTGTTTTTTTCTGTTTCTTCTACTTGAAAGATAGATAATTTATATGCACTATGTTCTAGTGCTTGACATTGTATCCATACTAAATAGTCAACACCATCGTGATTGAGCTCTGATGGGACTACTTAGTAAAGCCAATTACATTCACTTGGTCACTGCCCTGCTTCTTGTATGTGGCTCATTAGTCAGTTAATTACTGCTGCCTTCAGAGCCTAAAGATAAATGATGCTTTGTAACAGAATGCCTTTAAAACCACCAGTGCCAGTGATTATCACTAGTAGCAAGATGCACTTAAGTATATCGCTATGCATAATGCTTCAGTCTCCTTTTAACCTTTACAAAATCTATGCTAAATTTTTTTTTTAAATCACTGGATAAATGTCCTGGTTGGTATCAGTCAGTCTGTCTGCACAAACTAAGTGGTCCCACAATGTATGTGCCCTTTCAGTATGGCAGTGCATATGTGTAAAATGTGAAAGTCACACAAGGCAGAAGTGTCCCTATTGGAAGGCTTCCCCTTCCCTCCTGTTGACAAAGTAAAATTGTAACTTTCCAGTCATTTTCTGTTGTGGCAGTGGTCACTAGGATGCAGAGAGTGAATCTCTACAGTAAGGGGAGACAGCCAATAAAACCTGACTGGTTCTAACCTATAAGGCCCCTTTTACATGGGCTGATCAGGAGACAATCCGTTCACAGATTCTCTCCTGATCAGAGCAGTACGAAGCAGATGTCACCACTGTGACATCAGTGTCCATAAATGTATTTATTTTTTCTTCCCCACATCTTGCGACTGCAATTACCAGACCCCATGCCAGTCTATGGGGAATCTGATGCAAATGGACATGTGTCCGTTTACATCAGATTACCCCCGATCTGGCACTATCTAGTCCCAACGAAAAGGAACAAGGCCACTCCACTCGTCAGTTTACACATGGTTGCCCATTGACTTGCTTTGGGCATCCAATCAGGTCCGCATGAAAAACTGACAGGCGGACCCGATCGGAGCGGGCATGTGAAAGGTGCCTAACACGTCTGAGGGCCACATGCAGCCCTCAGTGGCTGAAGAATTGTTCTACAGTTGCCAAAAGCTACACTTTGTATGTTATTTTGAGGATCATTACTTCAAGAAATGATATATGGCCTCTTTATCTGGTACATCATGCTTCAGTTGTTACTATGACTTGAATTACCAAAGTGCAGTAATGTTGGGGTTTTTTTCTTTTAATTCCAAAAAATTTATTAATATTTGGTTCCACTCAGTTTGGCCCACTGTCGAGTTTAAAATGCTTGCTCTGACGAAAATTCAAATGTATCTTTTTGGTCTTTAGAAAGTACCTCCAAAATATGTGCCACGTTTATTATACATAATACTTTTCACTTTTCCTACCTCCCCTGTCACCGAACAACAGTCCTGTTTTAGAACTTGGATTCAAACTAAACCTGTTATTTTGAGTATTTGTATACCGTTTTAGCTTTTATAGTTAGTGTCTGTCCAAAATTAAAGGATAAAGTTCTAGAAAAAAATACAGCTGTTTTTATAGCTAGATTTTAATGCATACACAGGCCATAGTTGTGTTTATATGTTTGCATAGCAAGAAAAATTCCAAGACATGGTATAACAGGGCTAAAGTAACATTTTGGCAAACAATAAACAATTTACCATGTGACAAAGTCCTTCCTAATGTAATTAAAAAAAAGGTGGAAGCATCATCCTGTGAGTCAGCACGGTGCTGACAGTTTTTATGCAGCCTTAGCAATTTTAATAAGTAGTATACTCATACATACTTGTATGTTATAGGCTAATAAAATGAATTCCAGATGTAAAATAATATAGTAGCCAAATTTTATTTTCTTAGAGAATTTTTTTGCAAAGATCAACTCATTTTTATGACACCTTCCCATTTCAGCGAGAACGACCGTGTTCTTATGGTAAATGGAACCCCTCTGGATAATGTGCCGCATTCGTTTGCAGTTCAGCAACTAAGAAAATGTGGAAAGACAGCTGTTCTGGTAAATATAATATTTATTGTTATAACTGATGTAGAAAGATTCATACCTTACAATATTGTGCTTTTGCAAACAATGTCCAGTACAAACACTTTTTAAACATGTGTATTTACAGATAATATGCCATTGTTAGACTCTAACTATTGGGTGTGTCTCCCAGTAACAGAAACAAATGGGACAAGTTGTACTCTGCCAGTAAAGACATATTTTTTAATCTGTCAGCGCTTGGTAGAGGTCTCGCAACAACACATGGAGGGAGTAACCCAAACAGGACTTCAATAAGATTGCACAGAGGGAGCTGCTGTTCCGTGACAGGTTGGAAAGCCTCAGAAGACGTACAAGAAAAAAACAAGAGAACACTGCCTTCTCCTCATGAAATACCGAATTTTTTTATTTTTATTCGTCCATATAAAACTGAATATAAAAATATATACTCGCAAACAATTGGTCGGCACCATAATGCACTGTCCGACGTCCAAGATGTGAGTAGAAGCAATGTACTAGGCCTTGCTGTCATGTTTCCAGGGATAAACCCTCTTCCTCAGCGCAAATGGCACATAGACGGG